TCTGCTCTTCTGCCCTGCCCTTGCTCCATCCCTGCCTTCCTCATGCCCACCCCTCCTTTCAAGCCTTATCCCAGCACCTCCTCCTCCAGCCCCCAGTACTCTTACCCTCTCCTCTCCCAGCCTCACCCTGTCCCCCCTCCCACTGACACCTCCCCTCCTGCCCTTTTCCTCATTGTCTGCACTTGGCTCCCTGGCATTTGTCTCTCCTGCACCCCTGTCCCTTGGTGCCTTCCCCTTTCTTCTTCTTCTTCTTCTTCTCCTGACCTCCTCCCCTCACACAAGCCCCTTCCCCATATTTTTTTCCTCCCCTCCCCACGGCCCAACCCAGCCCTTTCCCCTCCCCAGGGTCCAGCTCTAGGTTTTTTGCTGCCCCAAGCAAAACATTTTTTGCCCCATCCTCCCCCATTGTCTTTTACACATGTTTGCATTTTGCAATGGGTTTTTTTTTTTTGTTGTCTTTTTTTGTCCTGGCATTTTAGCCCTATACATAACAAATAGCATTTTCATTTTTTTTTTTTCATAAAGGCAAAGGCTCTTCAGTGAACTCCCCCTTTCACTCACTGCTGGGTCACAGCATCCTTTTCTCTGCCCTGTCCAGCCCCTCCCTATGGGCAAGCACCCTTCACTCCCGACCCACAGGGGGAGCAGGGTGCAGGGACAGCACAGAGCCAGAGGGATGCAGGGATCGCGGGTAGCAGGGGGCAGTGGAGGCACGGGGAATGGAATGCAGGGAACGGGAGGGGCAGAGGGATCGGGGTCTAGGGGCAGTGCAGGGAATGAGCAGCACAGAGCTGGGGGGCAGGGATTGGGGGGGAGCAGGGTGTGGTGTGTAAGGGCAGCGCAGAGCCAAAGGGTCGCAGGGAAGGGGTTGAGCAGGGGGTCTGAGGTGCAGGGTCAGCGTGGGGAACAGGCGGCGTGGAGACAAAGGGGGGCTGGGGCTGTGGCAGGACTGGAGCCAGCGGGGCGCGCCCTGGCTGTGCCGCGTGCCGCAGCCAGCTCCCAGGGACACGCGGCCAGAGCCAAGCTGCCACGGCCCTTTAAAATCAGCAGGGCCAGGTCATGCCAGCATCCTGGCATCCCGCCCTGCCTCCTTGTGCTGGAGCTGCACGCAGGCAGCCCTGTGGAAAGAATTACCGCACTTCCCCCTTCCCAGCAGTGCTGTGCTCCTTCGGCTGGCCAACGGATCGGATGCGGTCATGCTGCCCATAGTGCGGGCTTCAGCCAGCCCGTCACAACGGCCCACTGCGCCTGTCCGACCCTGCACTTGCCAGCTGGAAAAATCTACTCGCCACAGGCGCGTGCATTTGTCGAGCCCTGGTAGTCAGCTTTGCTTACTGTTTACTTTAATAGAATATTATTATAGGTGTTTTGCTATACAGTGAATAAAAACAACATACTGCTTGGATAGAAATCAGAAGCATTATGCATACCGTTCGTAGTGTTTAGATTATACTATGTCTCGATCACTTGTGAACATTAAAGATCCCGTGGCACTTTTTGCAAGAGTAAAGATAAAATGTGGGTAATTCTAGTATGTCTATTGTAATTTCCCTGTAGTTACAATTGCATATGATGTTTGTTCTTTCTTTGCTGCAGGTTTTGTTTTCAGCAGTCATTTGTTTTGTTAACATCTCTGCCGCTGACCTTGTTGTGGGCAAGTCATTTCATATTTGTGCTTCTGTTTTCCTGACTATAAAATGATGATACTTCCCTTCTTTATAAAAATCTTTAAAAACATACCACAAAGGTACTACATGTAGTTTTATGTGCCTATTTTAAAACTGTTGTATAATGTTGGTTTTAAAACTGATGACTTGTGCTTCATCTCAAAACTCTGCATTTGAGTGGTTGAGTGAGGTGATATATGTATTTTAGGATGTTTATGGTTAAAAGGCATTGACAGATTTTGAAAAGGGTCTGAGACAGTCAGGCAGTGAATTCCCTTCTGACAGGTCTCGAGTTCTCATTGCAGATCTGCTATAGACCCCATTGGAAGGCTCCAGTCTTTATAAATTAAACTCATCATTAACCTTTAACTACTGAGTTTGTCTCTGGGGCCCAGGTGTCAGCCCTGCTATACAAATACTATGAACTTAAACACAGAGACAATTTTAGCTTATTGCCTAAAAGGGCCACAGTACTCAATTGTGGGTAGTCAATGATTATGCTCATTAGCACAGTTTTTTCACGTTTTTTTATATCTGCTATGAAAGAAACATATTAATAAAATAATTAAACTATTTAATTAAATGGTCGTGTTTCAGAACAGATTATTGAAGATGATTGGTCCAAGTAAGTATGCAATATTATTGGAATGTTTTATATTAATTTGGTACAAATACTTTCAAGATGGAGTGCACATTTTCATAGATGATATAAAAAAGGTTCATAGGGAAAAGCGTATTTAGTTCAAAGAAGACTGTGGGAAAGATCTTGCTTAGAAGTGTTTATTGTGTTTTTAAATTATGTTTTCACAGTAAATTTGCCTTCCGGGGAAAAGATAACTTTTCTTGATACTCCGGGACATGCTGCATTTTCAGCAATGAGGGCAAGGGGTACACACATCACTGATATTGTTATATTGGTTGTAGCTGCAGAAGATGGAGTAATGAAACAAACAATAGAATCCATTCAACATGCTAAAGATGCCAAAGGTACTGTATATTTGACCTTTTAACGCTTCATTTTAAAAAATTTGTTGCGTGTCAGTGCCAAGTACTATAAGCCAATATGCACTTTAATAACAATTCAAAGAACGAACACTGGTACAAAACAAATAAAAGGCTGTCCTGTCTCACAATACATAATCCTCGAACCAAGTCCAAGTCCATTCAGGTTGGGGATGCTTTTCTTCTTAAAGAATCCTATGGAATAACTGAGTCCCTTGAATATAATAAATATAAAATATATCGGATTATGATGCTAGAAGGGACCGTTATGATCATGTATAGCCCAGTATGTAGAACTTCCCAAAAATAATTTTATAGGCTGGGAAAAAAAGTTGTGGAAAAACATCTGATCTTGATTTTAAAATTTTCAGTGAGGGAGCAACCACCACACCTCTGGTAAATTGTTCAGTGGTTGGTTATTCTTAAGTTCCAGCCATTGGATAGTGTTAAGCCTTTCTCTGCTAGACCTGAAGAGCCCATTATTGAATTACTTGTTCACCACCTAGAGTCTTACATACTGTAATCAAGTCACCCTTAACTTTCTCTTAAGCTAAATAGACTCAGAGAGCTTAAAATATCACCATAAGACATGTTTTGTAATCTTTTAATCATTCCTTTGGCTCTTCTCTGCACTCTCCAATTTATCAACGTACTTGAATTGTGGCACCAAAATTGGACACAATATTACAGCAGTTTACACCAGTGCCAAATACTGAGGTAAAATACCTTTTCTACTCATACTTGAGATTTTTCTTTTTATACAGCCCAGTATCATGTTAGTTTTCTTGGCCACAGCATCTCACTGGGAGCTGCTGTTAAGGTGATTATCCACTGCTGCTTCTAAATCTGTTTCAAAGTCACTGCTTCCCAGAATAGAGTCCCCCATCCTGTAGCTCTTTTGTTCCTAGATGTACACATTTATATCTAACTGTGTTTAAAATGCGCCTCTGTAGTTTCAGGAATTTTTTTTAGTTGTCTGTTGTCTAAGTCTTTTTCCAAATCACTTTAATCTTCTCAGGGTCTTTAGTTTTCTCAGATAGAAATGACCTGGCTATCACTGGGATTTTTCAGTGTCTTCGGTATTTTTTTTTCTTGCTATTAATAGTCTGCTTGCTAAGGAGACTTTTTGATATATGCTGCTGGTTCTTTAGATGTTTCAGGATTTTCTTCTTGAACATCTTATAAAGTTTTAGTTCTTTGTCCTACAATCAAAAGAAAAGTGGATCTAAACAATGCTTTGAAAAGACATTTATCATCTTAGGACACTCAGCAGTCTGCTAGGCTGCAGTATTGTTAACTCATTTGCATCAAATTGACCAGGGCTTAAATTCCAGGTTTTTTCAGTGTGTATGTCATGCAGGAGTTGCAGAATCACTTTAAGGGAAAGAAGATAAGTTCTGGAGTAGCTTTGGCAAATGCACCTCCAAAAAACTGTTCTGGCTTTTGGTGAAATTGAGAGCAATATGGTGCACATAAAAGAGCAAAAGGTGCTTTTTTCCCCCCTCTACACTTGTTCTCAGTGTGTGGACCTCCAGATCCATAAAGGTATCGGTTATAATACATTTCCTTGACTGAGGCTGTGAGAAGGTTAGGTGGCAATCCATTTGAAACCCATTAATGCTGCATGTAACCTGACTCTGTAGATCACTACAGAGGCAGGCATGAAGACTTTCCTTTCCTGCTGCTTCTCCACCACTGGTTACAGCTCATCAGGTGTGAAAATTATTCCAGATTTCCAGTTCATATTCAAAAGGATATGTTCTAAAGCCATACTACCTTAATATAGATCTTAGGTAAAGTTGTGATACTGGAGTAAGAGATTTGTACTTATTTCGTTCTCAGTTCCTATCATCGTTGCCATAAACAAATGTGACAAACCTGAAGCTGATCCTGAAAGAGTGAAGAAAGAATTGCTGGCTTATGATGTGATTTGTGAAGAGTATGGGGGTGAAGTTCAGGCTGTGCATATGTCTGCCCTTAAGGTAAAGTTTTTTTTAGATGAACGGTCGTGTTCAAGGAATTCTACCATATGAAATACAGACAGTGCTTTGATTTGGCATCTGGAAAATGAAAGTTTTTATTTGGAGCCTACTCCTAGAGCATGCTAAAGACTCAGAGGTCCCATTAGATTCAATTGGAACCAGGAGTTCTCGGTTTCATGCACATGAAGCCTTTTGTGAGCAAGAGATTAGCAGGAGAATTACAGACTTTCAAGTTCCCTCTGATTTTTGTGAGTGGGTATTCCAGACTACTAATTGTCATTTACTCATATTTGCAATTTGAGTAAAAGGCATCCAGAGGAATTACTTTTGAAGTTAGGCAGAAAGGAATAATTTTAAATCAAATCTAAACCTTCATAATGCAAATCTAGGCATGAGTCACTGTTGGCAGCAGAGAACAAGTCTCATAAATCTATTCTCTGTAGACTTACTTTTAGATAATTTCTGTAATCTGAAATCCTTGCTTTACCACTTTCACTTGATTTTTGTGGTGATCAAATTTATCTTGTTGAGAATTAAATCTGCAGTATTGTAAAGACTTCATTGCTGTATTTCTGAATTGATCCTATTCTCCCCCAATGAATTGCCAGCAAAAGCCATCATTTCTGAAACTATACTCTGTCATCCATAATGTGGGTACATAAAAATGGTTTCTTTGCTCATTTCTGTTGCAGCCTCATTTTTGTTTTTTCACTGATTTGTGGTTATTGATAATCTGTTCATGGCATGTCTATTCTTTCTCATCTTTAAAAGAAAATTGTATGTCTCTAGAACAATGAAGGGAGATGAGGAAGGACTGAGGTGAACAATTCCTACTGTCTCTAAACCATTGGTTTCAGAGAGGTAATGTAGTCGTGTTAGTCTATAACTGGAAAAACTTAAAACAACAAAACTTAAAAAACAATACTTCAGATGAAGTGGGTTGTGCCAACGAAAGCTCATGATACCATCTACATTTTTTGTTAATCTCTAAGGTGCTGCAAGACTATTTGTTGTTTTTAAAATTTTTCTAAACCATTAGTTGATTGGTTTTGCAGTTATTCAGGAGGTGGTCGGGATTTACTGCCGAGGTGTCCTCACAGGTCACTGGCTCCGTTGATGATGATGATAACCGAAAGGCTGCTTGTGTGTGTGCTCAGTGATGCAGACTGTGTCGACCTGTGCACTTAGTCTCCACAGCAAACCCCAAGAGAGCCCCCAAAGACCACAAACCAGATAAGGATCAAAGGTGCCAGGCCAGGTTTATTGTTAAGCGAAGTACAGTTGTCAGTAGACTCTACTGAACCACTACACTACTTAGATACCACCCTCACCCTGTACCTCGTGGTTTCATTAGATGATCTTTATCCATCATGCTGTCATTTTAGATGCTTTCCTGAACCTGGGTCTGTATCTGTGAGGAGTGGGTGCCAAGATCTTTTTTATGAGCTAGTGGTATCATGTGCTTTCCACTTACGACCAGTACCAATTATTGTTCTGCAGTCGGTACCTAGCACCAATTACTATTTTGCACTCTCAGCCCTGTTCCTGCCAAGTTCTGTGAGCAGGGGCTGCCTTCTTGCTCACAGCTTAGCTTTGCTTTATGTTAGCCATGTTTTGTCCATTGTTAGCTAGGCCCCAGGCCTCAAACCAGGCCTGTGCTGTATGGGCTTACGTTTTAGATCTTCATCTTATTACAGCTTTCAGTAGCTCTCCTTTTTACCTGCTAACTCACTTGTCTGAACTTCATTTGGGAATTGCATTTCAAATATCATGTTTCATTTTTTTCCTGCCTGTATGAGCAGATTGCTGAAGCTCACTACTGCAGGGGTTCTCAAACTTTGTGATACTGCAACTCCCTAAAATGCTAAATGAATTAGTGTGACCCCACTCTCACTGCTCCACAAGTAAAGCTAATCATTTGATTGGGATTAGGATTGGACAAGAAATAAATTTGCCAAAAACCTAATCCAGTTGCGACCCCCCTCTTAAGTTGCTTGGGACCCCCCGGAGGGTTGGAACCCACAAGTTGAGAAACACTGCACTACTGGCATCACAGTACTAATTCATATCCCAGAGTGCTGCTAAATTTTGGTCAGGAACATAAAAAAGTCCTCTCCGTTGTACTGTTACTTGAGTCCTGACAAAGCAGTAGAGTTAATTGGAGCTCTAAGGAAGCAGGTGGGGAATGGGTGATACAGAATCTCAGGTAGGAGAGAGTGGAGCAAAATTATCTGGCAATGGGGAAAAAGGGTGAATCGTAACTACCACACCAGGTTTCTTATACTACCCAATTTGCTCTTTGCCCCCGGGAAGGGGAAATATTTTTAAAAGAACAGTTTTACTAATATAAAGATTAAACTTGCTTCCTATTTCCAGCACTAGCCACGGATGCCAAGCAACTATCATTCATGATATGGGGGGGGGGGCGGGGGAAGAGGCCTTGCATGCCGCAGTGCTTTGCATTCAGGACTGCTAGCACTGCTGTGTTAGGCCATGGTCATATGTTACTTCAGCAACCCTCTGCATAGGTACAGAGACTTTGTTTATTGAATCACATTGTGGAATAGGGAATTATCGATCATGTGTAGTGGGACAGATACTGCTACTGAAAATTCACCTTCAGATCATATTGTAATTAGCTGCCTCTAATTCTTAACTGTTTTTCACTACAGGGTGAAAACCTGCTGGCTTTAGCAGAGGCAACTGTTGCTCTTGCAGAAGTGTTGGAGTTGAAGGCAGACTTCACAGGCCTAGTAGAGGGAACCGTAATAGAGTCGCGTACAGATAAAGGAAGAGGGTAGGCCAGCAAATCGTCTGTCTTCCAGCTTTCATTAATGTTTCTGTTATGTTTATTCTAGTTGCATTCGTTAAAGAATTGCTGTCCACATGGCTTCCAAAATTTAGGTTTTAACTGGGGAAAAAATTAGTAAAATACAAAACTTTAGTATTTATGAAACATACCATGAAAACTTCATTTTGAGAGTTTAACTATTACTCACCTGTGTCAAACAACAAAAATGATTACGGGTATGAAATGGCTGCCTATGAGGAGAGACTGGGACTTTTCAGCTTGGAAAAGAGGTGACTAAGGGACGATATAATAGAGATTTATTAAATCATGACTGGTGTAGAAAAAGTTAAATAAGAGTTATTTTCTCCTCATAACACAAGAACTAAGGCTCACCAAATGAAATCAATATGTAGCGGGTTTAAAACAAAAGTAATCTGTTAGTTAGAAGCTGAGAATGGGTGACGGGATGGATTGATTACTTAATGATTCATTCCCTCTAGGCACCTGGCATTGGCCACGGTTAGAAGGCAGGATAGTGGGCTAGATGGATGTTTGGTCTGACTCAGTATGGCTGTTCCTATGTTTGTAATCCAAACGTTGCCGTATTTATTGCCTTAATATGTGGGAACCAGAAAATGAACAGTTAGAAACTGACTGAGCTATTTTATTTTCCAGTGGAACAAAGTGTAGCATAAGCAGACAGCATAAATGGTAAAGCATAAGCAAAAGTTGCTTGTTTAAATAAAATATGAACACAAGTTTTTTTAAATTTCATTAATATTTGTGTGACTGTTTTTAACCTATGTGGTTTACTTATTATGAACATACGAATGGCCATACTGGGGCAGACCAAAGGTCCATCTTGCCCTGTATCCTGTCTTCCAACAATAGCCAATGCCAGAGGCCCCAGAGGGAGTGAGCAGAACAGGTAATCATCATGTGATCCCTCTCCTGAGTTATCCATTTTCAGCCTCTGACAAACAGAGACCAGATACACCACCCCACTCATCCTGGCTAATAGCCATTGATGGACCTAACCTCCATGAATTTAACCAGTTCTTTTTTGAACCCTGTTAAAGTCCTCGTCTTCACAGCATCCTCTGTCAGGGAGTACCACAGGTTGACTATGCGCTGCGTGTGAACCTGCTGCCTATTAATTTCATTTTGTGACTCCTAGTTCTTACGTTATGGGAACAAGTAAAAAACTTGTCCTTATTCACTTTCTCCATACTTGTCATGACTTTATAGACCTCTATCCTATCTCCTCTGAGTCTCCTCTTCTCTCAGTGGAAAACTCCCAGTCTTTTTAATCTCTCTTCATAAGGCACCTGTTCCAAACTCTAAGCATTTTGTTGCCTTTTTTCTGAATCTTTTCCAATGCCAATATATCTTTTTTTGAGATGAGGCAACTATATCTGTATGCAGTATTCGAGATGTGGGCATACCATGGATTTATATAGAGGTAATAAGATATTCACTGTCTTTTTCTCTATCCTTTTTTAATTATTCCTAACATTGTTTGCTTTTTTGATTGCTGCTGCCTTTTGCGTGGATATTTTCAGAGAACTATCCATAGTGACTCCAAGATCTCTCTCTTGAGTGCTTATAGCTAAATTAGTCCCCATTATTTTGTATGTATAGTTGGGATTATTTTTTCAATATGCATTACTTTGCATTTATCAACATTAAAATTAATTTGCCATTTTGTTGCCCAATCACCTAGTTTTGTGAGATACTTTTGAAGCTCTTCATAGTTTATCTTAAGCAGTTTGTTTACCCCTTTCTCCAGATCATTTATAAAATAGAAACTTTTTATGAACAATTCACTAAATTGTTCTTTAAAATGGTGCTATTTAAAAGGGACCTCCAAAAGGAAATAATTTGATTTTAGTTTTGGGGGTTTTATAAACAATATATAAAGGAACACCTGAAAGATTTCTTTGTCACAAATTCTGCTTGGTGTTTATTACACTAGAAATACAAGCAGTGTATCTGGTACTTCCTGGATTTTCTGGAGGACTGTTGTCTCATATAGTTTGTGAATTTTCTAAGGCTATATCTAGACAGCAGGGCTATTTTGGGATACCAGAAGTTTCCTGAAATAGCAGTTTGACATCTTTAAACGCACCCATTATTTCAAAATATATCTCGAAATAACAAGCGTGCTGTTCCAGTGTCCCTGTAACTCTCGTTCTACAAGGTTTAAGGACTTGTCGGAATAGCGCTTTATTTCAAAGTTTAATTTAATTTTGAAATAAGCTATTTTGAAATTACCTCAAGCTACACAATTTGTGTAGCACAAATTGCTTAGGTTATTTTAAGGTAAGGGTGTAGATGTACCCTAAGTGCCTAATTGAAGAGGAGGGGGTTGCTGATTTTTTAACATTTATACAGCTAAAGAAACTAAAAAGGATACTCCCATTTTTCCCCCTTTTCAAGACTCCTTTAAAACCTTCTTCAGCATGGTGGTGAAATAGAAATGCTCTGAGAGAATAGGAAATACTGTTCTATATTTGTTTATCTTTTCTTAAAGGCATGTAAACTGTAAATGTGATAGTAGTCTTAATCTTGTTTTTCTTCCTCTTTCTTCTCCTCTTAGTCCAGTAACCACGGCTGTAATCCAGAGAGGAACTCTGAGAAAAGGATGTATTCTGGTGGCAGGTAAAAGCTGGGCAAAAGTGCGCTTGATGTTTGATGAGAATGGCAAAACAGTGGATGAAGCTACTCCCAGTATGCCAGTAGAAATTGTGGGCTGGAAGGAAGTCCCTTCCGCAGGAGCTGAAATCCTTGAAGTAGAATCTGAGGTATAGCAAGAATAACTCAATGCATAGCTAACACGTGTATTGCAGAATGTAATGTAGATAGAATTAAGTGCAAAAATGGTAATATTTATTCAAAATGAGCCATAGTAACGAAGGCTTGAAGCCAAAACCTGCATAGTAAATGTGGCCTGGAATAGGTTTACCACAAAGGGATTGAAGAATCCACTGAAACATACGGTCCTTACTCCTTCCCCTCCTCTAGCGCATCCACATTGATCTACTCCACATTTAGCCGAAGAAAGCAACCTCTCAGTGGTATGAAAGTTAATCTGTGATCTCCTATTTCCCTTTGCTTCTGTTTGACTGTAGCCAGTAGCTGGGTGGTTTCTCTTTCAGTATTTCCTTGGCTGATTTCTTCCCTCATGCCTCTCAAAGGACTCAGAAGGTGTTAAAATTAAGACTCAAAATAAAACACAGAAATTGGTGTGAATAACTTGTTTTAACTTAAGCTCTGCTGAAGCTAATGCAGGTAGGTACCATTTATGTCATGAAAGGGATTGAGCAGTATCTTTTCTTAAAACTGCAGCTTCTCTAAAGCTTCCTGTGTTCTTCCCTAACCTTTTTTGTAAGACCAAATGTCATACCAGTATTCTCCTTGTGTCCCTGGAGTCCCTCAGATATACCTTTCCAGTGACTTTGCTATCAAATAATCTCCAAAGTCTACAATAGCCTCTTATGAGTTGAGCATTGTATGTTTCCTAAATCTATTTAGGATTCTCTTTGTTGCTTTGGATAAATGGTTCTGGTGTCAGTTTTTTGGTGCTATAGAGTGAGATGAAAGATACCTAGGAGCAAATTAATGCAGTTTATTCCACCATGCCCTTGTGTGTTACCTTGAGAACTTGTCTGTGCTGGGTACTTCTGCTGTTGTCTTCTGTGTAAAATGAGATTGTTAGCTAGACTTTTATTATTCTTATTAAAATATTATTTAAATTTAAAAGGAAAACAAAGTTACAAACAAAAAAGCACTTGAATATTGCCCCTGAGATAATTAGCTAAAAATGCCTTTTAAGACCAAGTTGCCTGGTGCTATATATTGAGAAGTAACAGTTCTGTCTTTCCTGCCTAGCAAAGGGCACATGAAGTTGTTGAGTGGAGAAATTATGATGAAAAACAGGAGAAAATCAAAGAGGATATGGATGTTATTGAAGCAAAACAAAAGGAACACACAGATGCATACAAGAAAGAGCGAGAAAACCTAGGCAATCTGACCTGGAGACAGAGAAAAGCAGCGTTGTATAAAACCAACAAACATCTAATAACTATGAGGTTTAAAGAGAGAGTGGAGAGTGACAGAAATGTGCTACCTGTAATTGTTAAAGGTGCTGTCGTATTCCCTTGACTTTGAAGTTGTTCTAGTGCATATTTGCCAAGTCTGAATTTGGAATTGTAGGTTTTTCTTTAAGTGAGTATTCACATGGATTCCACTCCTGGTGTGTGAGTTCTGATTGTTGTGCATAACTGTCTGTTGAGGTTCACCTGTACCCTTGCTTCCTGTAGCTGAGGGTATAAAGGATGGGGTGACCATAATGCACATTTCGTTCCTTACTGCCCATGGCAGTGAAATGGCACTATGTAGTGTTCACATCCCTGAGCAAGTTCTATTAGTTTTTATAGTATCAAATAGTTTTCTTTTCCTCTTTACTTTTATAAAACAAAAAAACCTCTTAGCGATAAGTTTCCTTTCTCTTTATATAAGGGTTTTACTCCCTGTGCTTACCCCCTCTTCCTTCTATAATGGCCCTTCTACTTTCACTCTGCTCCCCCCAAATTGGAACTTAAAAATGACTGATTGCAGGTCACTAAGATTTCAAGGTCTATCCCTCTTGTGACAGGGATGCCAGTCACAGATGCTTCTGGTGCTGCTCTGCCTTGCTTCAGAGAGCTACTCAACTGCTATGTCCTCCTCCAAAAGCAGGGATGGGGAACCTCAGGCCCCGGGTCTGGCTCAGGAACCCCTTCAGCACTGGGGAGCCCAACTGGCACTCCAGGCCCTCCCCACTGTCCCACTGTGGGGCTAGAGCACACACAATCTACTAGGTTGCCACTTCCCTTCCCCCCTGCCCCCCAGGCTCTGGTGCATGAGGGGAATGTGGGGAGTGTCTTTCTCCTTCTCAAATTGGGGCCCACATCAGTGAAGGGGTTTTTTTTTGGCTGTATTTTTTCTTCTCACTTGTGTGCGACCCCCCCCAACTGATTTTTCCGTGTGTTATTGACCCACATCCCAAAAAGGTTCCCCACCCCTGACCAAAAGGAATTAAATAGCGAGGGATGCAAAACAGAAACATGTTCTCTTGGAAAGGTCAATAAAAGCCTTATCATATTTTGGCAGACTTTTTAAGGCACGGGACCTATTTCCATACATTGAGTGCCAGAGTTAGATGAGATGCCACCCAAACCTCCAGGGCAAGCTGTCCCTCGTAAGTCCTACTTGTCAGCCATGTTGCTAGTACCTTCGGACAAAGCTTTTAGGAGTTCTCCCAGATATCAGTCCCTCTTTCCAAATGAGATGGAAAGTCTCCTATAACATTAACTATTCTAAAAAGCCTACAGGTTAAGTCCCGTTTTAGTGCACATACTCAGAAACCCAAGCCAACACCAACAATTTATTCTGTTCTTATGTAGTTTCTTACACTGCACTCATCAACGTAGTTGTTTAGTACCTTCACTAGTGCATTAAACAGCATGGCTAACATCCGTGAGCTGTTGTCTGTTCTCTCATCCTCTTTCCAGGAGACGCATGTGCAAGGATGTGTCTTGCGCTGGTAGACTTTTTTTTTTCAGAAAAAACAGAGAAATGTTGATAGCATTTGTATTTAATGCAGGCTAAAGAAATTCATTTTGCGCTTGGAGCAGACAGTAGTGAGGTTTGTAATGGACATTAATTTTGGGGAGAGCATATTCCAGTCTTGGACTGACTCCAGAAAAAATTCTGTGTCCTACATTTTACCCTTGGAGGGAGTTCCATTGAGACAGAGAAGCAAAATTATCAACCACAGTCTTTATGATATCTTGAACCCAGGTCATGTAATACCTTTGAAGATAAAGACCAAAGGCTTGAACTTGATGCTGTGTTCTATGGAGAAGCAGTACAGAAAGTGGAGAACAGGTCTTAGATGCTTTCAGTAGCCTGTGTTATTGGGGAACATGCTGTAGCATTCTGTTCTAGTTGGAGTTCCTAAGGCCAGTTTAAATTGCAAGAGAAAATCAACGCAACATACGCAACTCCAGCAATGTGAATTGCACAGCTGAAGTCAATGTATCTTGTATTGACTTTCTATGGCAGCCTCACAGCGGGAGATGGATGGGAGAAAGGAGTCAAGTGCAAGAAATTCTGGGGTTGACGGGGGTGCCTTCAGTGTTCAATTTAGCAGGTCCTTACCAGACCCACTAAATAGAACTCCAGTTGATCGATCTCCAAAGCAGCAATCTTCCTGTAAGTATAGACAGTCCCTAAGTGCTGAAAATTTCAGGTATGCTGCCTTGCTGTAGTTCAGCATGGAACTGATGAAGGCATAGATAACTGAGGCCAGCTTGTCATCCAGCAGAATGGTACTGGGCCTTCTAGCCAAATAGCGATAATAGAAAGCATTAATTACAATCTCCCGTTGTTATTCCCTTAACTATTCTAGGTGACATAAACTTCCACGTGTTTGAAGTAATTTGAGCTCAGTGGTTTGAGCATTGGCCTGCTAAACCCAGGGTTGAAAGTTCAATCCTTGTGGAGGCCATTTGGGGCAAAAAAATTGTTCAGGGATGGTACTCAATGACCTTTCAAGGTCCATTCTAGGAGATAGGCAATCTCCATTAATTTAATTTAATTAGAGCATTATCCTTTTATTTGAATAGGATCAGTCCATTCAGATGCTCACTTGTCTTCACGCTCTTTGTGGCATTCCCTGGAAAATGTAAGGGACAATTTATATCATTGAGTGGGTCTCAGGATGCTTTAGTACTTATTTGACTAAGAAAGATCTCCCTGGATGCATTAACGCTGAAGCAGCTCCTGCAGCATGTTTGTTTAACATCTACATATCAGATATGTAGGACAGCATGTAAAACTCAATCCATACATTTACCACTTGCTATTCCCTGGCACAAGCGTCCAAATTGGATGCTAGCTTATATACAGCAGTCCTTCAGTCTGTTAAAGTAGAACTCCTGATGCCTAGCTACTGATAAATTAGCAAATGCTTAGTAGGCTCCAAGAGTGAAATCTGTGGACAGTCACCCTACAAAACCTGCGGTTCTTTGAGGTGTGTTATCTACAGATTCCAGGATACCCCATCATCCTGCTACTTGTACAACTATTCCTAGGAGATCTTTATTGGTGAAGGAACAGGGACGTGCACCTCACTTTTTATATCTTTGGCTGCAGAAAGTAAGGGTGTTTGAGGTATAGGGGCAACCCCGACAGACACTGCTATTCAAAAGAATCCAATATTATGTATGTGGGCTGCAGGCACACCGAGGCTACGTCTAGACTGCAAGCCTCTTTCGAAAGAGGCTTTTTCAAAAAAGTCTCTTTTGAAAAAGAGCATCTAGACTACAGCCAGTACTTTCGAAAAAGCAAGCTGCTTTTTCAAAAGAGAGCACCCAGGCAGTCTGGATGCTCTCTTTTGAAAAAGCACAGTTTGCATTGCCTAGCACCTTTTTTCAAAAGAGCACTTTGGAAAAAGGCGTTCTTCCTCATAAAACAAGGTTTTCCACGGTAAAAAAAAACTGCTGCGTTCTTTCGATTTATTTTAGAAAGGATGTGGCAGCAGCCTAGATGCAGGGGAAGTTTTTTTGAAAAAACCCTGTAGTCTAGACACACCCCTAGAGTGGAATCTGTGTGGGCATGTCTTGAAGAACCAGAATTCTTACCACAGTAAGAAAATGCTCTGTTCCAGTCCTAAAACTAAGTACTGACTTGTAAATCTTCTGAGGAGAAACTTCTGGATGAAAATATTTTTATTAAAATTAACATAAGCATGACTTGATGACTACAATATATTTAAAGTGTGATTTTACTCTCAAAAGTGACCATATAAGTATTAGGAATGTTAAAATCTCTGAAAATCTCAGCAGTTACATCATTACCCACTCTATAGGTTCTGCAATAGTGAAGCCTCCCTGGGAACTGAGCGGGCAGCCCTTGCCAGCCCAGTTCCTGGGGAATTGGCTCCACTGTATAGATGATTAATCGAAATTTAACAACTCATCGAGTAGTCGATGGAATTTATTGTTGATTACTTGATTAGTCAATAAGGAGGTGCGCACTATCCTGCTGCACCTCTCACTTTGAAATGTGCAAGAGCCATCAGCTATATCAGCTCAACTCCATGGGCAATATCATTGGACTCGTAGAACTGACGCCATACATAATTTTTATTGATGATGATGCAAGAGCTAGGAAGAACCCACCTTGATTTTCATATCCCAGGCTGAATGTACAGGGCTGACAGTATTTGGAAAACTAAGCAAACTTGATCTTGGTCATTGAGACACAACAAATGTGGAGGAACCCCCTTGATATGTTTGATCACTTTTCAGACTAGAACACCAAACTTTCAAGTTTGTGCAATATATTCAACAATCTGTTATATGCTAAAAATACAGAACCAGATATTAAATCTTTTTTATATTATCTGGAATTCCTATGTAGCTGCATTTGTCTTTTGTTTGTTATAATTTTGATACTTGTTTATTGTGATTTTATAAGCTTAATGATAGAACATTTCATGTATTTAGGTGATGTAGATGGTTCCACTGAGGCAATTCTAAGCATTTTGGACAGCTATAACGCCGACAATGAATGTGAATTGGATGTGATCCATTTTGGAGTAGGGGATGTCAGTGAAAATGATATAAACCTTGCTGAAACATTTAATGGTAAAATGTGTATATTTAGACAGTGATCTTATTATCAGTGTGAAATCCTTCATATTTTATTTTATGAACAGGAAGCTGTGCTTTGTTTTTGTTTCTACTGTAATAATTTAATTAAAAATATAATTAGTGTACATTTGCATTTATAAAAACCTTAAAATATTGTATGAAACATAAAAATATTCTTTCATAGAAATTAAGTACTAGTGATATCAACATCCTGCTAGATAGCTAGTGAAAATGCAGGTAATTCAGAGAAAGATATACACTATTCTGTACTACGGCAGCTAGTATCTGCAAACTTGTGTGTTGGAGACAGTGCTCTAGATTCTGGTTGCTTTATGCTGCTTCTGTGTGAAAAACAGCTAGAAAATTGGCTTAACTCGATCCAAGAGGATTTTTTGTGGAGGGGATCCCTGGTGCAAGAGGAGGTTGGTCAGCATATTGGTTCCTATTATTATCTCCTTCCAGCCCAGGGGGCATGAATGAAGTGCCCCTATATTTCTTTGATCCCCAGTTGCTGGAACACTCCTGGGCCACACCTGGGTGTAATTTAGAACCTGATTTATGCTGGAGACAACATATGGAGCTGGCCTTGTCTAACCCCAAGATAAGGCCCTCCCTTTCCATTCTGTACCTTCATATAGCACATTGCTTAGCCAGATCACAGGATCTGACCAGCCGCCTATCTGCTTTATTACATTTGATTATATCATCTTGGAATTTACAAACCAGGTGGGTGAAATAATATCTTTAATCAGATTGTCTTCTGTTGGGGAACGAGACAAGGTTATGAGCCACACAGAAGCAGGGATTTGAATTTCCTGCGCTTTATTTGCATAATGGCGACATGTTCTTTCGAAAACGGGTATTTCAAAAGTGAAACCACTGTCCAGATGCTGTCTAGGATCTTTTAAAAAAGAGGTTTTTTCAAAAGAACCATGTATAGACAGAGACTTCACTTTCAAAATACCCGTTTTCGAAAGAATGTATTATATAAATGAAAGAATGTATTATATAAATGAAGTGCAGGAAATTCAAATCCTGTCTACATTTGCAATTTCGATCTAATTTACATCCCTCTTTCAAAAGAGGGATGTAGTTTAGATATGCCCTTCAAGAGAGAGCATTGTTGAAGGTGCTTTTTGTACATCTGTTCTCTGATTTTAAAAATGAATGGAAAAGTTAAAATGGGGAAACTACAAAATTTCACTTATCCTGAATAAAAAGCAACATTACTGATTATCTTAACTTTTGGAATCAGGAGTTAAAGGAAGAGAGGATTGTAACTTTAACTTAGTAAATGTGAAAAGCTCAACTCAAGATAAGCAAACAGTTTTCAGTTGTTAAGCTACAGACGGCACTAAGAATAAAATACTACATTAATATTTCAGGAGAGCCTTTGCAAGCTTATCTCCAAAAGCATTTACTGCTTGAAAATAAAAATTCCTGTACTTGAAGTGTTTCTAATCAGGTGGTTTTATCTATCAGGTATCATATATGGATTCAGTGTGAATGCAAACAAATCTATTCAGCAGCTGGCTGCAAAAAAGGGAATAAAAATTAAACTTCACAATATTATCTATCGTCTTATTGACGATTTAAAAGATGAGTTGAGCAGCAGATTGCCTCCATCTCTAGTAGAAAATATAATAGGTAAGTTTTCACTGGATGATGACTATTGCCTTGTGAAACTAGATTTTTCTTGTGGGGTAGAGAAAATATTTTGCTGCTCTGCAATGGACTTTGATTAAGTTGTATGTTGAGAAAATATACATATTTTATTCTCCGGGATAGCTTTCTCATTGACCTCATTTGCATAGAATTCCTCTACAGTTATTCTCAATACACAGCAGCAGAACATCCAGAAAACTTAAAAGGAAATGATACAAACTGCACCAGGAATTAATACTACATTTCACTGTGTTCTTCCACTGCTATCAGAGCTTTACTCTTTCCATTTCTTTCTTTAGGGGAGGCCTCTGTTCTTGCCACCTTCTTCGTCACAGTAGGAAAAAGCAAGGTTCCAGTGGCTGGCTGCCGAGTACAGAAGGGGCAGTTAGATAGAAAGATGCTGTTTAAACTAATTCGTAACAGAGATGTTATTTGGAAAGGTAAGTAAAACTATCAAACCATTTATCCGCATTGATATTCTACTACACACACATGCTCACCCTTGGAGTTAAATTCTTAAGCTCAGACTATATCCTTTGGTCTATATAGGCAACTCCCATGGAAGTCGGTCTAAATTAAATTTTGGACTATCTAAAGGTGGAATTTGCTTAAGTTTGTTCAATCAGCTTAATACACTATTTATTGTGGACTTCACCTAAAATGGGCATAACTAGTTCCTGCAAAGCTTGATCTCTTGCTTAGGCAATGCATGCAGAATTGGGTTTGGACAGACATTTTCTTGACCCATCCTGGTGTTCTCTCCCCATAAGAGACTTCTGTGTGTTCTGAACCCTTGACAACAGTCTCTATTGCAAGGAGATAGTGAGATCATAGTATATCCCATTAAAATTCAAAAGGAATAGCACCTAATTTTCAAAATCTGTGTAAACCAGTGGTCTCCAACCTTTTTAAGCATGAGATCACTTTTTGAATTTAAGCACAATCCAAGATTTACCTCAAACCCAAATACCTGTCCTGCCTCCTTTGTGCCCTTTCTGAGGCCCTGCCCCTACTCACTTCACTTTTCCGAGACCCCTCCCCTGCTCACTCCATCCTCCCTCCCTCCCCCATCCTCCCTCACTTTCACCAGGCAGGGGCAGAGGATTGGGATGCAGGCTCTGGTCTTGGATTAAGGGATCTGGAATGAGAGAGGCTCTGAGCTGATCTTGGGGCAGGCAGTTAAGTTGCCAGAGGGGGTTCTGGGTGTGGGCTCTGGGAGGGCGTTTGGATGGCAGGGGTGCTTGGGGCTAAGACAGGAGCTTGGAGTGTAGGAAGGGGGTTCATGAATGGGGTAAGGTTTCGTGATGTGGGTTCTAGCTGGGCACTGCTTATCTCAGGTGGCTCCTGGGTGGTGGTGCAATGGGACTAAGGCAGGCTTATCCCTGCTGTGGCCTTGCACCACTCCCAAAAGCAGCCATCCCAACCCCTGCTCTGTGGAGATAGGATACAGGGTGGGATGGGGGCACCTTGACCCCTCTTCTCCCTACCCTGTCCTGTACAGCAAGCAGGAGGCTCCTGGAGATGGGGGGAGGCAGTGCCAAGGCAAATGTGCAGCAGTGGCGGGAGGGGCAGCTGAAGTGCAGGCACTTGACAGCATCTTGGCCAAAGTAGTCAGGATTGCCTGTCAGAGGTTCCAAGATCTGCCAGTAGATCCTGATCATCTGGTTGGTGACTACTGGTGTAAGGCCTTGCCATGTTGCTTTTTTTGGCAGGGAGGATATTGACTTGTACGTTTTTCTACTGGAGCTATTTCTTCCTGCATTGACATTTGTTGTCTTTCTAGGATATTTAACCTCATTGAAGCACCATAAAGATGATGTCCAGGTAATAAAAACTGGCATGGATTGTGGCCTTAGTTTGGATAAGAACATAGAATTCAATATTGGCCTTGCCATGTTGCTTTTTTTGGCAGGGAGGATATTGACTTGTACGTTTTTCTACTGGAGCTATTTCTTCCTGCATTGACATTTGTTGTCTTTCTAGGATATTTAACCTCATTGAAGCACCATAAAGATGATGTCCAGGTAATAAAAACTGGCATGGATTGTGGCCTTAGTTTGGATAAGAACATAGAATTCAATATTGGAGATGAAATTATCTGCTATGAAGAAAAGGAAGTTAAACAGACAATTTCCTGGGATCCAGGATTTTAAATCCTTTTACTTGAATGTGGAGAAGAGGCATTGCACTATTTCTGAATAGCTTCACAGAATATTCTTATATTAAAGATACTTAAAGTGGCTTGTATTGTAAGAATTCACTGGCATTATGAATAGGATTTTCTTCACTGCTGGATTACGCCAGCTTTGTAGACCTAGAAAAGCATATTTCCAGCATGGTAGTGTTAACTCCTTAGGGACAGAAGAGGATGTACTAGAGCCACCGCCTCTGGGGACATACTGCTGTGGTGGGTGGTGCTGGAGCTGCCTGTACAGGTTGGGCCCTCCATCTGCCAGAGACAGCAGTGGGTTTCAAATGAATTGGTTTTAAAGCTCTCTACTGACATGCTTAAAGAGAATAGGATTAGTGTAGTACAAATTGATTTTAAAAGCTTTTG